TCCCTCGGATATGGATTTTCCGCCATCTTGACATAGCAGAAACGATCTCTCCAACCCTTATGGGACGAAGGCACGTCGTCAAAAAACCTCCACGGGGCCAGCTGTTGTAAGTTAGCAGAGCCCTCGGAATTTGTATGCCCCCCCGGCAGAGGTTGAAGCTTTGAAAGAAAAGATCAAGGATAGGAGTTGCCCCCCGGGACCGGCAGAGATGCAGGAAGCCGGTGATGTAGGAGTGGCTATTCGGGGTTAGCTGACAGGGGGCTAAACCCACGAACCTAAGGTATTCAAGTAGGGAAGGATGCAGCGGAAACCGGAGGCCCATTGCGACGGACAACACGTGAACCGCGAAGCACCCCTCGGGGGCCTGGGACAGGAGGTCGTCCTGGCCCGGTTCTATAACTGTTGCTGAAGGCCCCACATGAAGCTGAGTAACGTAACACTCCGCCCGATCAGCCCTCGATCTTAGCGCGAGGGCAGCGGTATTCAACCAAGTATGCCCTTCGGGAATCCCCACAGGCTTCCCACAGTCTTCCGCACTTTGCTTCTTCTTTTGGGAAGACTTCGTTTTCTTCTTCTTGCTCTTCGCCGAGGGCGCAGCTCTGATGGGATCAGGGCTGAGGGGTCTTGAGGTCCCGGCTTCATCAACTACAACCGAAGGAATGGCGATCGTAACCTGGAGGCGCTCTTTCTCCTCTTCCTCTTCGGAAACCTGGAGAGCGAGGGCCATCTCTTCATCCTCAACCACCTGCTCAAACTCCTCCGCCTCCAACTCAGTGCGAAGGTTGTTTTGGACTTCTTCGGCAACAGCTGAATCATGATTTGCCGAGGGCTACTCGCTCGATGACTCCACATCTGGGAGCGAGATGTTCTAAGGGAGAAGGATATCTAAGTATTTCTTAGCCGAGGACCCCTAAGATTGCTAACACTAGATCAAAGCGAAGAGTAGCAAAGTATGCTAAGGAAGCGAAGAACAGGTGAAGAACTGACCTTGGATCGAAGAAAATACTTGGGTTTGATCGAAGGAAAGACTTTCTCTCTCTAGAAATTTTGGCAGAGCTTCGCTTCAGTTTTAAACGCACAAGGGAAATGAATTCGGACTCGGGGTATTTATAGGCTCCCAGCCTCGAAATATGGGCCTCGAATTGAGAAAACCATCATTACAAACCGCCACTTCACCCAACGGGTGGCACCCGCCCCCCTTCAGCCAACACGGGTACGCCGCGTGGATCACCCCTCCAACGGCTCTTTTCCAACGGCTCTATTTTGGAAACTCATAAGACAGCCCCCAAATGACTGCCTCCGGCTACCACCTACTGAAGCCTTCAAGCAATCAGCGGCGTAAGTCTTCGGCTTATCAATGTCGCCATCCCTCGGGAATTCATCAACACATCATAACTCCTTCAGCCCGAACTTGCCTTCGGCCTAAAGGAGTGGGGGACTGGGATACACCCCTCGGGAACCACACGTAACAGAAAGCGAAATTCCTACATGCGAAAACCTACAAATAACGCATGAAACCCTCGGGCATATGCATCATTACACCCTTCAGCAAAGCACAATTTCAGAAAAATTCCATAAAATCACTAACAATGATGGAGCAGCCCTCATCACAACACATACAGATGTTATTTACACTTCCCTCAGAAAACCTTCGACATGTGAGGGACTGAGGGAAGCCTTCGGCTAACAGCAGAAGATAAGTGATCAGTCAAAGGCACCCAACAAAACAACGAGGCCTCCGGGAGAATCAACACAATTACTCCTTTTCCCTCAAGTACCTTTCGGCAAAAGGAGTGAGGGACTCCTGATGGAGTATATGGCTCAGGAACCCCCGGCCCATAGACTCCTACTAATCTATCACAGGCCCAACAAGCCCAAGGAGCTCAGGAGGCCCAAAAATCGGCAACCCAAGTCTCGAAGAAGCCCGAAATACACACTGGGATACCTTCAGCCTCCTTGGCCGAGGGCTCTAAAATACACAGGGCAGCCAGATTTGAGCATACGAGGCTACGGGGAGAAAACGGCGTAAAACAATAGCCCTAAGTTACCAGTAGCCTTCGACTTATACAGTAGCCCTCGGCTACCACTCTGATGCCTTCGGCATCAGGGAAGCCTTCGGCCATGTGACGTCTTCGGCTACACCGGCCCTCGGCCCTAAGGGGAGCCCTCGGTAAACAACTCAATCATCGAAAAGATTCCCTTTGGAGACAGCCAACCACCGCATTTAATGCGACGTCACATCCACCCACCGCATTCAATGCGGTGAACATGCCACTGCCGGTGCCACCCCGATTGATGTGACCCCTCGGCCGTTGGATTACTGACAAGTGTACTCTCATCACATTTATTGCTACTATAAATAGCAACTCATTTTCCCATTGTAAAGGATCGACATCCCAACACACGCTGAGTTCATTTAATACAATCGACTCTCTCTCCTCTTATTTGCTCTGACTTCCCTCTGGTTATTCTCGCATTAACCCCTCGGATAAGCTACCCCCGGGTACACTGTCCATCAATATGGATAGTGTAAAATTCAATATGTTGTAATTATTTAAAAAGGAAGGTAGTATTAAACTAACGTTCTAAAATTATAGAGGAATTCATTTATTATGAGACATTAATTTATAATTATAATATCAATAAGGATATTTTTAATTGGATTGAAATTTTACGTCTAGTCAAATAAGGTATTACCTGATTTGATCAGTGCAATTTTAGTCTAGTCTGAACTGGTCTGGTATATTAGATGTATGTTCTATGTGTGTTATACAACTATCAAAATGTGACCTGGAACCGAAATAGTCAAATTTAAACATCCTAAAAGGTTTCAATTATACTTATATGATACTCCCTCCGTCCCACACTCCCACTAACTTTGTCCCGTTTTACTTTTTCATCCGTTCCATTAAGTTTGTCGCATACCATATTTGATAATATTTGAGTGGTCAGAATTCATTCTTACTTTATTTACACTTTATCAATTCAATATCAACCACACAATTCTACTTTCTCTTAAAAATAACACTACACCCCTTTGTCCCAAACTTAGAGGGATGGAGGTAGTAACAGAATAAAGACAATATCTAATACAAAGATGAATAAAAAAGTATACATGATCACACAAATATTACTGAACAATGTACTTCTGCAAGTACCGGGGACAGAGCCTCACTCTCTATCTGCCAGATTGTGATTATAGTCCAATTTACATCCTCCCATCGTGCTGTCCGGTCGGTGTTGGGAGGCCCTCAGGGATGCGGTGTCATCCTTTTTTTTACTGAACAATGTAGTTGGAATTTGTAATCGATTTTTGAGTACATTTTAGAGAATTTATCCAAAATAAGACTAAAAAGGTTTGAAAATTCCAAAATAGGACTGACATGTTTTTATTCCCAAAATAGGACTAATTACTGTCATGTTTTGGCAGTACCAGACTTCAAACATGACAATATTTTCCAAACTTGGCAGTAATTACTCCTATTTTGGGAATAAAAAACATGACAATCCTATTTTGGAATTTTTAAACTGTTTTAGTCCTATTTCGGGAACTTTCCCTACATTTTAAACATAATTAATTTTCAGGAATTAATTTAGATCCGGAGTAAAAATTAAGGAAATCTAACGGCTGCTTTGCTTTTTAAATAAAAATCTTAGGATTTGATTTTATGAAGCTGCGCGCAGTAAGATTCGCATTTGAAAAGCAATATACTACCTCCCTCCCGTAAAACTTTACCATGTTTGACTGACACGAAGATTAATAAAGTAAAAACTGTGTGTAGAGAATTAACTGGAACCATCATTTTTTACTTAAAAGGGAAAGTGGCAAAATTAGTGGTACATCTAAAAAATAGTTGGTAATGTTTTAAGGGACGGAAGGAGTAGTTGCGAAGGTGCGCCCAGTAGGGCTGTGCACGGGTCGGGTTCGGGCGGGTCGGGTTTGCAAACCCTAAACCCGTTCGAGTTTTTTAATTTAAATACTAGGTCCGACCATTTGATATTTCAAATCGGGTATTTCGGATATTTTTAAGTCGGATATTATCGGATATCGGGTCGGGTTTCGGATATTTCGGTTATATTAAAAAAATATAATTGGATAATTAAAGTGTTTAAATGCCACTTTGACAAAAATTGTACACACTAGTGCACTTAAATTATACAAATAATTTAACACAAATTACACAAATAATTGAACACAAGTATTAATTTAACATATTCAAAGTACACAGTACATAATTTAATATATTTCGGATATTTCGGTTAAATTAAAACACATTATAATTGGATAATTAAAGTGTTGGAATGCCACTTTGACAAAAATTGTACACACTAGTGCACTACACATTCTATTTACACAAATAATTTAATACAAATTGCACAAATAATTACACAATTAGTTGAACACAGATATTAATTTAACATATTCAAAGTACACAATAACATATATTTCGGATATCGGGCGGGTCGGGTTGGGATTTTACAAACCCTACCCACTACCCGGTCTAGGCCCAATATTAATCGGATTTTCGGTTTCAGGTTTTTTCGGGTCGGATATCCACTTCGGTTCTGATAATATCCGAAAAGAATATCGGGTTTTTTGGATCGGGTTTTGCTCAGCCCTAGCGCCCAGTAAGATTCGCGTGATTACTCGACGATTTCAAAATCAATACTTAGGATGTTTTTACTTGGACTGTAATTTGCTGGTCTGGTCTGGTCTGATCTGGTCTGGTCTGGTCTGGTCTGAACTGGTCTTGTCTGGTCTGGTAAGGTCTGGTTTCTTTGTATTTTTATAACTATCCAAGTCTGGTCTGGTCTGGTCTGAACTGGTCTGGTCTGGTCTGGACTGGTCTGGACTGGTCTGGACTGGTATGGTCTGGGGCAAATTACAATCCAAGTAAAAACATCCTTAGTTCAAAGTTTGGAAGAGGACAAATCTGTCTTCTAAAGGGAAAAAAAGAGGTGCGCGCAGTAATTGTGAAGGTGCGCGAAGGAGGACCGGAGACCTAATGAGCCCAAGTTGAGCCATTGAGGAGTAAGATTTTCCGCTCGTAAATTTGCGTTCTTCATGAAACTCAAGTCATTACCAGCATAAATCTGCGAAATAAGGATAAAATAGCAAAATGGCGTTCTTCACGAAACGTAAGAACCCTAATCCGAAACTCTACGTTGGAACCATTATCCATCGAACCGTAATGATGACCATGTCGTAACTTAAGAGTTGTGTCCGCTGAAATTTCCAATAAGAGAGCGATCATTGATGCTGCAAATTTGCCAAGTCCAAAGAGAATAGTGGATACCCATGGTACCTATCAAGGGACGTTTCTGGATTTAAACAGTCTTGACCGCTTTCTTAGTGATAAATCCATCAATCACTTGTGCCAGAAAATGGCCCAAAGCAACACTCTTGTTCAGATTGGACAAAAATTACTTGAATAAAAAAAATTACTTGATGCGCCAAAACATTTCAAAGCAGTGAACAAAGTTTGGCAAAATGAACACTTCAACGGCCTTCTCTATAACGCATTACATATCCAGGACTCTTCCCTGCCCGACACAATAGCATATATTTCTAGGAAATTTATGCATGAACGATTTGATGAACGGATAGCTCGTATCAAGAAAGATTGCTACTTCAAATCTAGCATGAAAGTCAGAGAACCTTCTAAAGGGACTGCTGTGATGAGGCGACTCCTATTGGTTCTAATTGTATACTGGAGTTGTGAAGATGAGTATCTCAAGTTGGATACAATTGAATGTAATGTTCCAGTAAAAGCTCCTGCAGACGAATATACACTCGGATTTGTGAATGTTTTGCAGCAATTACTTCAGTCGATGAAGCTGAAAGGTGCTCCTCATGGTACAATTGACGCATTGCGTAGTGAAGTGGAATCCTCTTGTGCAACGGAACCTGATCCTTTCCTCGACGACGTGTTCTCTGCGATGAAGAAAGCGAAAGATTGGCTATATGAGGAAGGTTCTCCTGTTCCAGAACTTCTTGGTGAATGTTCCATCATGGAGCTTGCTGTTGAAACCGAGAATAAAAACAGTCATGCCCTTGTTGCTATGGCAAAGACTTTTTTGGAAAAATTAGATTCTTTTGATCTTGCAGCCAGTTGTAGCTCCCTAGTGCAGAGGCATTCTGATTTGTGAGAAAATTTCTGGTCGATGCAGATTTTAAAGATGCATGCATTTCTTAAGATAATAAGACGGGATTGGAACTTCCGCGAAAAAATTCCACCATATAAATATGCATACAACATGAGGAGGTGCAAACAAACTTTTTCTAATGACGCGGTTGAGGATGCAATGCATCGGATCAAGAGAGATGCCTTCTGCACACGATTTCTAAAAGAGGGGGAAACTACTGCTATGTTGAGGGGATTCCTGGTCATTTTGTTTGCATATCATGCTCCAGAAATTCTGAAGTTTAAGGAAAGTTAAACACATTTATTATCAATCTAAGTTTGCTGGTGATGTTACAGAATTAAAGGCGGCGGTGGACAAGGTATATAATGCTGACCCAGATTCGCGATCTCACTTTGTGTTTCGTAAGCTTATGTGCATTCAGTTTCAACATGAAGTTTGTCGTAGAATGATTTGGTATGATATTCACTGGTATTATAGACCTATGTGGGCGGAGGATGATAGATGTCCAGTTGAGTTTGAAAATTAAGTTCCAGTCAGCCTAACATTAGATCCAGTTAATTCTCAATGTGTTTTTTTATATTTGGCCTTATAAACAGTTAACTATTCAAGTCTAAAAAAATGAGCGGGATTTCAGTGGATGGAGGAGCTCACAGAAGCCAAAGGCTAGAAGACTAGAAGAAGAAAAGAGGCAAACAGCTTGACTCAAGCACTTCTATTTAAGGAAGTTTTTGTTTTTTTTTATTCTTTAAACCGAACCAAATAAGTCTATTTTAATTCTATTTTGAGCAATTTCTAATTTACTAATGGGTTTAATGCGTCAATCCCTTGTGATGTACAAGTTACGTACATAAGTCACTTGTGATTCAAAAAAGCGTCAAACTCCTCGTGTTATAATCAATCATGCAAATAACAAAATGAATTAATAAATTTAGCAATTTAAAAATCACTTGTTCTAGTATTTAAGATTGAAAAAGTGAATTTGTCACAATATTTAAACCATACAAAAATACTAATCACTTTGTCTTTATTGGACAATTATATGCATGATAATTTATAAGTTTATAACATGAGGTGATCCACTTTTTAAACCACAACTGCTCATGAGCTAAATTTTATATTTCCTCCATCCTAAAAACTTTATCACTTTTCTTTTTTAATAATCAATTAATTTGTAACTACTATTATTTATATATTTCTCTGCACAAATTTCAACTACATACTTTTACTTTATTATTCTTCATGTCAATCAAATATGGTAAAGTTTAAAGAAGTGATGGTGTAAATTACAAGCAGATTTGACACATTAAACCACATTTGTTTTTATTTTTGGAAAGAAAACCCTATATATTAGGATTTATTTTTAGATTAAATGTTATGCAAGTCATGTTGCTTCAAACAATTCAATTAGCAAAGTAACTTCAATCTTACTTATTTTGATTATTATTATTCAATGTATGAAATCAAAAGTTACTTGTTCAGTATAAAAAACAGATAAATTGATAAACTGAAAAATGCAAATTACCAAATGAACTCTTAACTTCAATGCTGAATTCAACATTTATCTTTGAAATCATGACTCTTTTTATGATATCTTTTAAATCATGACTTGATTGTTATATTTGGGGTTTCTTACCTCAAAAAAGGCCATTTATTCCTTTACCGGGGGTGTACGTAAACGTCGTAAAGTCTCCAAACAGTATAACATGATGGTAGATTGTTCAAAACTTAAAGAGGAAAGTTGGTTCCCCATACTTCGAGAATAAGAGAAATTTACACTTAAAATATGCATTGGAGATTTTAACAGATCAAACTTCCAAGTATATTTCAGTTCATAAAATGTACCACTTTGTCTTAGGCTCTTAGCTAAGTAAAAGCTTTGGTAATAACATCCAATTAAAGCTAGATTTCGTTTAGTTATTGAACAGATCATGTCTCTAAACAGTACAGAAAACATTCATCCAATCTATTCATATGTACATAAACTTTTAGACGAGAAATGAGGCGCACAGCTAATGACACATTAACCTAGGCGCGCCTTTTGCTGGTTAAAACCTGAAGTATTTCTAACCCCCGTGAAAAACGTAAATGCATCGGATGCGTCAATTCAATGGTTAATGATGATAAATTTATTAGATCAAGGAAAAAAGAGGCAACATGTTAGGAAATGACCATATACACATTTCAGGCTACTTTGAGTTTGAACGTCTTCAATACATGCACGTTATTCAAGCGTACTATGCACACCCAGGCAGTAAACTGTTACAAGCCATCATAAAACCTTGGACTTCTGTGTAAGTGAGGTCAAGGTTGAGTTGAAAAGAGAGCCCATTCCATTATTCATTGTTACTACATTGACCATTCTTCCATGACTATAATGTAAGTTTTCTATATATAAGAACTTTTTTAAATAAGTGAGTGAGAGCCAGGTTTGGTTGGCTCTTTGTAGCCCATACCTTACTCTCACTCCAAAAGAAAATAACAGTTACCAAAAATAAGAGCTTTTCCCATTCCTTGGCTTAATTTACTTTGACATTTACCAGGAAGGAAGCAACATCAGACCTTTTTGCTTTCATTAGCCTATATTACTTCGAGATTGACCAGAAAGGGCTGCAAAGATCAGAGCTTTTTCCCTTTCTTAGCTTTCCTCCATATTACTTTGACATTGACCAGAAAGGCTGCAAGATCAGAGCTTTTTCCCTTTCAATGATATTTCAATTATTGTGTAGGGCAAGACCGGATCATCTCAGATACTGGCGCCTGACACATTGGGCACTTTCCATTCCACTGGACCAGTTTCTCTGAGCATTTTATACAAGTGCACATGTGGCCACACCTATAGAGAACAATAATAGAGTGTACATTGAAATCCTCCAATGGAAATAAGTAGCCTTGTTTGGTGGTCAAAATTGATTTAGGAAAAATTTGTGGGAACATGCTTTTTTTAAACTTTTTTGTGCATCTCCCTGTTTTTTCCGTGTACACAAGCAATGAATCTAAAAAGTGCAGAAGTTGTCCGTGTGCATAGACAATGTACGAAACGTATACAAAAAAAAGTGTACACCAAGCAACTCTCATTGGTTTAATATCCAAGTAGCAATGTAACATGAAAAAAATAACTTCTACAAAATATACAATAAGAAACAGGGAACTGCATAAATATTACCGAAAATCATATATTAAAGATATATTTACCGAAAATCATATATTTATGTATGCATATTATTTTCATCATTTACCCTCCTTTGATTCAACTTTGTTTAATACCGGATGATGAAAATAGTATGTGTGTTCAAATATTAAAATTATTATACTAGTACCATAGTTAAATGTAAAATGTAATACATTTCCAGCACAGTGTGCTATGAAATATCACAATTTCCACCAATAAATCCCTGTTTACAGGAAAAAACATTGAAACCTCAAAGTTTCTAAGTTTCTGAAAATCTAATTAATTTTGGAAACGGGAACGACAAAACATGGGCTGTCATAAACTATGAAACTGCCCCCAATTATAGGATTTAATGAACTCTGAGAATCCTCTGATTCCTGATTTTAGAATCTTAAAAATGGTATCACAATTACACAGTTTCTAGGAGTTTGGCATCAATCGAATCCTAAGGGCAGTAAGAGGTAATAGAATAACAGGGACTTTGGTTCCTTACCTGTAGAGCAAGGAATCTATTCTCTGTGTGTAACATAGGCAACAAATTCCCTTTCTCACGCAATCCCACTTGGAATCTTCATTCATTAGTTTTCTTTCACATGTATCTGTTGAAATGGCATCATGGTCAGTAATAGTTCATTTTTATAAATAAATGAAACCATAAAAAAGTACAAATAAAATATTAGAAATTCAACTAAAAAGAAAAATACAATGTAGTTTAACAATTAAAACAAAATTTGAAAATAGCTAATTCTCTCATGCAAACGGAAAGCAAACAAAATAGGATCATTTCCTCATTCACCTTTTGAAACAGAATCTCTGTGTAAAGCCGCAAAGACTTCATGCTGTACTGAGTGATGCAATTCAAATTGCATGTCCATGCATGATTCTAGCATCCTCTGCATACTACTCATCTGCTGTTGAAGCCTATTCATGTCAATCCTCAACTCGTTTATGATTTCCCAGTCCTACAAGTGGTAAATAATCTCCATAAGCAATAAAGTTTAACCTTCATTTGGAAACAGATGTCCATCAGTGGAGTACATTATCCCATGCGTCCCAAACAGATGCATTTTTTTAAGTAGAGTACATTTAATGCATTTTTTGTGTCTCAAAACAGTTCGTTATGTTCAATATAGCTACATCAACACAAAAAGTCTAAAAATATAGCTAGAACCAATGAGTTTTAATACTTGTACCTAACTAAAAAAAATGCACTTGGATGAAAGAATGCTAATTTTGGGGAGGTAGTTTTCTAGCGCAAATTATTTTTGTATCTATATAGAAATGAAATCCCAATGAAAAAAGATTCAAGCCTCATTACATAGGAATGGTGGATTAAGCACTTCAATCAAGTCTGATCAACCACAGAAATCCCAAAAGAATGAATGGGAGCACAGAAATAAAGCCAGATAATGGAGTTTAATTGCGATAAAGCATTAGGCATCCACAAGAGTCAAGAATATGAACACACCATTTCTGGACATGGATGAAGGTTCAGGCAAATCATATTTGAGTGCTGGCTGTGCTGCAACTCCTGGCCCCAAAGAGGCAGAGATATAGAACCTCGAGAAGACACGGGAAAGTGATTTCTCTCTATATCATTTGTGTAGTCATCATACTGATCATAATTTTCCTGATGTTGACCATGGTCAATAGAACCAAAGGAGGATGTTGACCCATCCATTGCCGAGTCAAAAGAAGCCATCCCTTGCCTCTCCACATAAGATTGCATCACCCGGTCTAATCTCTCACGGAAACCACTTTGTAGTAGATTAGAAACATGTCTCCTGTATACCAAATGAATTCTATAGTTTCAATTATCATGAAACATTAAATAAGAAGTTGTTAAATTCGTTAAAGAATACCTGCTGAGTAGTTCTCTAAGTTCTGTGCAATAAACATTTCCTTGCCAGTCTAAACTGTCAATCGAGTTTTCTTCCCAATCATCCATCCCACCATAAGTTCTGTGATCATTGGACTCACCATTTTGGTCATGATACTCACCAAAAGCATCGTGATCTTCTGATATTTGACCTTCATCATCCTCCATTGCAACAATATCATGTGAACTTTCAATAGCACCTGAATCAGGTATAGATAATGCATCTTCTTGTCTATTTTCACATTCTAAGTGTTGCTCAGCTGTTTCAGCAGTTTGTACAGTTTCATGCTGATTTGATTCCCCAACTGTACCCTCTGGAATATCAGATGCAACAATATCATGTGAACTTTCAATAGCATCTGAATCAGGTATAGATAATGCCTCTTCTTGTCTGTTTTGACATTCTAAGTGTTGCACTGCTGTTTCGGCAGTTTGTACAGTTTCATGCTGATTTGATTCCCCAACTGTCCCCTCTGAAATATCATATGCAACGATTGCAAGATCAGATTGTCTATGCAAATCATTGGCAACCTCTAGTCCAATGTTCCGTTGAGAGTTAACCTTTGCAAGAACATGATGCTCAACATTAGAAGAATCCTTTGATGGAATACCGAACAAGTGACCATGATTATTATGGTCCATCCTGGAAAATTCTTCCCTGTTTCATAAAAGAAGTTTGTTATATCTTAGGGGGTTACCTGAAAGGAATTCCAGTTACAAGGAATAGTTCTACTCCTTCAGTCCCCAAAAAAAGAATCACAGGCAAGAATAGAGTGCCGTTTGATCAATTGAGGCTAATTTTTTAAAAAT